TTACTCCAGGTTCCATCCATATTTTTTAAGGGAACCAGGAGCTTAGTTTTAAATAGGACTATATTATTTTGACTTATGTGACTACAAGACCACATTTTAGGAGCCATTTCAACAGAAATCTAGGAAATTCTAGAGGATTCACCATTTGTTTCTGCCACTGTAATAATGTGCAGTCCCCAGAAAAATATATTACAATCACAAATCAACTATTATTAGCATGGGAATTATTGTTTTGCAGATTACATTATTGTTACGTGTGTGGACAGGATGCAATCTATGTTTCTGTATTTAAACGATTGGCCAGCTAATAAATGAACAATGTTTTATGGAGACCTGATTTATGAAGACTAAGTTGAGCTCTGGTTTCACTTGGCACCACATCCTACTAAAAAATAACAGTGCATACAGTGTTTTCACATTGATTCTACAAATTCTATTGCTTTTTCCTCCTGGTTTGAAACCTTACCATAGTCTGCAGACATGGGTTAAATAACTAATTCTGAATGCTGTCATGCTTCTATTTAAACATTGTAGCGCTCTGATTATTTATTTATTTAATTCTTTATCTAAGGAAAGACAAAGATTACACAATTACAATGTCCAGAGTTCTATCAGCTCTAGGCAATTCAGACACAGCTGAGAGAGTATGTAACAATGAAAAACAGAAAAATACACAGTCACGTGTAACTCAGAGGACAAGCCACAGGGTCAAAGGCCTCTATCAAAGAATGTATTATTCCAAACAAAGGCGCTAAACTGTAAAAGAATGGAGGTGAACCCCAATGTGTTCGGTATGGATCCCTAGTTAGCTGGCCACCAAAAGTCAAAACCCACTATCTACCATAGAAACATTTTACATATTTTGAATAATAAAAGGATGAAATAATTCACCCAGAAACAAAAAAGAAAGGGGGGAAGGGGTTCTCCAGGTCTTTTATTAGTATCCTTTCTCAAGCTGACAATGCACTATAAGCATTTTGTACATTCCTGATGAACTGGCCAAAAATTTAACTCTGTGGATGGCACTTTTTTGCCCAACATCCTCCAATTGAATGATCCAGATAGAAAGCTTTCAGCTGAACAGCCGCTGCAGGAAATTATAGCTGGCTGGCCACAGTAAACATGCTGGCTCCGTGGACCCGAAGACTGGCAAATAATTGGTTTGGGTGAACACGGCCCTGGACCGGTGAGTCTACTTTCATTAAAAGTCAGCAGCTACAGTATTTGTAGCTGCTGACTTTTATTTATTTATTCTTTCAAACAGGGCAAAGAATTGCTTTTAGGATGTATGGCCAGCTTTAGATCAGAGGAGAGGAAACTGTAGCTAGCCTTGTCATGTCCTATATGTATCGATGTTTTGTAAGGGCCTGTTGAATGATTAGAGGTTTTCCTAATAATTGCCATCTGTTGACTGTGGGTGGTGCTTCCCTTCTTACTGTGTTTGTAGCCATGATGCTGTTTTTTTATATAATATTTTAGTTGCTTATGCATCTTACTATTAGCTTCAAGAGTAGTTGGTACGTTGTATAAAGCAGACATACCTTTTGAATTGTTTCCAGCTGGTCATCTGTGTGCAGAGTATGCAATTATTTATCCAATTTTCTCATACTGATTGAGAGGACTCTAAAGTCAGAGGGCACTTGACAAGTGAAGACACAACACAGAGCTTGGACTCTAGCCAGAGCAAGGAGTTGGGGTTAGATCATGGGGTTAAGTGATAACAATGAGTATGTTGTTAAATACTGTGATCACTACTTCTGGCCTAGTAGCTGTGTACATGTATAAATAAGATTTAATTGCCGCTGTTTCGTTTTCAGCTAAGCAATGAAACTGCTGCCAAGTACATTACTAGGGATGGAAAGGCGGTTACAAATGAGAAATGGCTAATAATTTGAGATTCAAAGAAAAGTATAAATGTCAATACAGCATTGGGCTATAAGGAGTTTTTTTTTTCTTCATCTGTCTCGATTAGTGACATTAATTATTATATCATTATAATATACATACAAACACATGCAAAATTTGTATTTCATCCCTGATCTCTTCCCATGATCATATATATGACAGAATGTTGTTGTCACCTGTATTATTTTAGCATCATATGGCTTGATAACGTTTAGTAAATATTAAATAAATAAATTAAATGTGTAATAAATTAAAGCATTGGAATAAAGCATTCAACATTTGGGGAATTTTAGTTAGGGTTACACGTTCATTTTCAGTGTACACACGATTCCTTCCTTGCCATGCAAACAAAGCTGTTTATAGCTGTTCGTTTTAATTGTGCTTTGATAGTCTCTGGATTGTTTATCCCATGGACAACTGTGCATTTGTGATATATTCTTTAAATGGCATTACAGTTAATGTCTGTGCATGATAATATATGTTTGCAGTTTAAAACCACATGCAGATACTAAAAATTCTTCAAAACAAAGCATTTATTATAAATCTGCAGTCTTATTTACAATCTGAATAAAAAAGGACATTCATAGTCATTTTAAATATAAATAGTTATGTATTTGAACACAGTTTAAGGGGAATGTGTACGATTTTAGGTGTATGTCTAAAAATCAGCATGATGTACAGTAGGTATGTTTATGTGTGTGTGTCTGTGTTAATGTGCTGGGAAAAAAAATTAGTTTGTATTTTTTGTAAATATTAATGTACACAGGGCAGCTTTATTTGCTCCTCACGTGAAGGCTTTTTCTGTTTTGCAGTGGTACACAGTGGTTGTGCTTTACTATTCCTTCTCACAATTTAGTGATAAGTCAGTTATGTAATTGAAAGCAATGCCCTCCTCATGTGGCTATTTTAACTGAGCTGGTGTCAGGCAGGGAAACCAAATGAGGCTCAGATAAATGCAGAGTTCCGTCTAGTGGTTAATCTTCAAATCTCTAGATTTGTAAGTCACATAAAAAATGTAATAAATTGAAATAGGTGCTTACTAGAAATACATTCCATCCCCTTCAAAGTAATTTATTATTTTGATGTGTTTTATCTACAGTGGATCTAAAAAAAATCTACACACCCCTGTTAAAATGTCAGGTTTTTGTGATGTAAAAAAGTGCGTCATTTCAGAACATTTTACACCTTTAATGTGACCTATAAACTGTACAACTCAGTTGAACAGCAAACTGAAATCTTTTTAGGTGGAGAGAAGTAAAAATACAAAACTAAAATAATATGCTTGAATAAGCGTGCACACCCTGAAACTAATACTTTGTTGAAGCACTTTTTTGTTTTTATTACAGCACTCAGTCTTTTTGGGTATGAGTCTATCAACATGGCACATCTTGACTTGGCAATATTTGCACACTCTTCCCTGCAAGAACACTCCAAATCTGTCCAGATTGCAAGGGCATCTCCTGTGCACAGCCCTCTTTGGATCACCCCCCACAGATTTTTGATCAGATTCAGGTCTGGACTCTGGCAGGGCCATTCCAAAATTTTAATCTTCTTCTGGTGAAGCCATTCCTTTGTTGATTTGGATGTATGCTTTGGGTCGTTGTCATGCTGAAAGATGAAGTTCCTCTTCATGTTCAGCTTTCTAGCAGAAGCCTGAAGGTTTTGCGCCGATATTGACCGATATTTGGAACTGTTCATAATTCCCTCTACCTTGACTAAGGACCCAGTTCCAGTTGAAGAAAAACAGCCCCAAAAGCATGATGCTGCTACCACCATGCTTCTCTGTGGGTATGATGTTCGTTTGGTGATGTGTAGTGTTGTTTTTTTGCCAAACATATCTTTTGGAATTATGTCCAAAAAGTTCAACCTTGGTTTCATCAGACCATAAGACATTTTCCCAAGTGCTTTTGAGAGACTGCAGATGTGTTCTTGCAAAATTTAGCCGGGCTTGGATGTTTTTCTTCATAAGAAAAGGCTTCTGTCTTGCCACTTTAACCCATAGCCCAGACATATGAAGAATACGAGAAATTGTTGTCACATGTACCACACAGCCAGTACTTGCCAAATATTCCTGCAGCTCCTTTAATGTTGCTGTATGCCTCTTGGCAGCCTCCCAGACCAGTTTTTCTTCTCGTCTTTTTCATCAATTTTGGAGGGATGCCCAGTTCTTGGTAATGTCACTGTTGCACCCTATTTTCTCCACTTGATGATGACTGTCTTCACTGTGTTCCATGGTATACCTAATGCCTTGGAAATTATTTTGTACTCTTCTCCTGACTGTTACCTTTTAACAGCGAGATCCCTCTGATGCTTTGGAAGCTCTCTGTGGACCATGGCGTTTGCTGTAGGATGTGACTAAGAAAATGTCAGGAAAGACCTACTAGAACAGCTGAACTTTATTTGGGGTTAATCAGAGGCACTTGAAATGATGGCAGGTGTGTACTGACTCCTATTTAACATGATTTTGAATGTGATTGCTTAATTCTTAACACGGCTACATCCCCAGTTATAAGAGGGTGTGCACACTTATGCAACCACACTGTTTAAGTTTTTTTTTTATGTTCACCCCCACCTCCTAAAAGATGTCAATTTGTTTTTCAATTGAGTTGTACAGGTTATAGGTCACATTAAAGGTGGAAAAAGTTCTGAAATGATTTATCTTTGTCTCATTTTTTTTTTTTTTACATCACCGAAACCTGACATTTTAACAAGGGTGTGCAGACTTTTTTATATCCACTGTATGTATGTGAAGGGCCTGCACACCTAAGCCAACTTTCGTGGGCCTCTTCCCTCCCACCCCTCTTGGCTGGTGAGCCTTCCTATCACACTAATAGGATCAGACATCATAGCCATAAAAAGAACACTTGAGCCTAGAGAGGGAGAGGCTGAAAGAGACACGTTGGCCACTTTGTGTCTATACTCCTTAGATCTAATGTTAAAAGGGGTATAGAAATCCTCTGCCTTTTTCTGCTGGAAGTTCAGTTGTAGGAATACAAATACTTGTTTTCGTGTTGTGAATAATTAGTTTTCTATTATCACAATTATTCAGTAATGGTAAACTAAATAACTTAATCATAATCCTTTTTGGCTTTTTCTAGGATGACAGTGATGGTATCCCATGGTCAGAAGAAAGGGTGGTGCGCAAGGTGCTATACCTGTCTCTCAAAGAGTTCAAGACAGCGCAGAAGAGACAGAGCGATGACTGTATTAATGGGAGTTTTAAAACTCCAAAAGGTGAGTCAGGCACGAACATATTTCCACATCAGTTCACAGTTCTGCCTCGGTTAACATCTGTCAGACACATCTCTTTCCACTTAACCCCAATTAATTCAACCTTCATATAATATTTTTACTTTGGACCAACTGCTAAATAAATTTAAAGCTTTCTAGAAGATATGACTATTTATTCAGCAGGAAAAACAGTAGTTGCTTACCTGTGTTTCTAGTGTTTAACCTGTTAGTGCCTAAATGATGTGTTATTTTAGCAGCCTCTAACCACAGTGGGTTTTTGGCATCCAGAAATTGCTGTCAGCTTGTTGAAACACAGGCACATTGTGAAGCCAAACTGTTTTGACAGATACAAAATAAGGCTTTATTCTTGTTTGTCCAGAAAGCTACCCCTCAGTTTGCCCCACTTCACACAAGTCTGTGGGAGCAACGGTGCCAGCACATAGTTATGACAGGCCTTACCACTGAAACCAGTGAGGAAATTGGCAGGAGAACTTCCCAGTGATAATTTTTTTATAGTAGAAGTATGGAAGTTCAGTATATTAATAATTATAAGGATTCCTAATCGCCATTCCACACAAAATATTTTTTTCTCTATGAAATTTGTATAGCACAGAGTATATAGTTTGCTGGGATGAAACAGTGGGATTCTATTCTTAATTTTGTTCTTCTAGCATTGCACATTGTTTCTCATTCTAGAGATATTAGTTGAATTCATTGAATGTAGATTGGTATTATATTACTAAGTTAAAGCTGTGTGAATTGTGTTTTTCGGATAAAGTAAGTGTTATAGAGGTAATAATTATTCTGGAAAAAATTCTGCTGTAGGTTTCCTTTAGTGTTGGTTTGTGACAAGAAGCCTTTACTTTTTGATTGTGTTCTCTGTTGATAAGAATTCAGATTGGCTGATTGTACCTTCAGCAGAGATCATGTAACAAACTTCCTAGGCTTTTCTTCATCTAACTAGCACTGCAGGAAGCTTAGTACAGCATTATCTTATGGAAAGTAATAAGCCATTATTACTCTTTATTCTTTCCAAATCGGTGAACTTGGTGCTAATTTAACCTTTTTACTATAGATGTCTTGCTCAAAGTAGTTCTTTGATTGTAACCTCTTGGTGGGAGCAATATTGCTTGGTTTGGACCTCAAATTTCCTTGTACTCATTGCTGATAATATCCCTGACTCCGGAGATGAAATCTTAGCTAGTGCACTCTTTGCTGAGCTCTCTTACCCTAAACATGAACCTTAAAAGGAATTGTGTGACTGCCATACATTCACATCTTACATTGGGGAAAATTATTTCATATCCTGCAGATTTTGTAAGTTTGCCTACTTACAAACGAGGGGTCTATAATTTTTATCATAGGTGTATTTTAAATCATAGAGACAGAATATCAACCAAAAATCCAGAAAAAACACATTATACAAATGTTATAAATTGAGTTGCAGTTTAGTGAGTAAAATAAGTATGTGATCCCCTACCAACCAAGAATAATCCTGGCTCCCACAGACTGGCTATGTGCTCATATGTTACACAGATTAGTCCTGTCCGTTTAGGAAGGTGCTCCTAATGACAACTCGCTATGTGTACAAAAGACACCTGTCCACAGAATCTCATTCTTCACCATCATGGGCAAGACCAAAGAGCTGCACAATGCTGGAGTGGGCTACAAGACCATCAGCAAGAAGCTTGGTGAGAAGAAGACAGCTGCTGGAGCAATTATGCACAAATGAAAGAAATACAAATAACCATCAATCACCCTTGGTCTGGAGCTCCCGTTCAATATTTTGCCTCATGAGGTAAGGATGATCATGAAAAAAGTGAGGGATCAGCCCGGAACTACACGGGAGGAGCTTATGAATGATCTCAAGGAAGTTTGGATCACATTTACCAAACAAACCATTGGTAACACAATACGCTGCCATGGATTGAAATCCTGCAGCACCCGCTAGGTCCCCCTTCTCAAGAAGGCACATGTACAGGCCCATCTGAAGTTTGCCATTGAACATCTAAATGATTCAGAGAAGGCTTGGGAGAAAGTGCTGTGGTCAGATGAGACCAAAATTGAGCTCTTTGGCATTAACTCAACTCGCCTTGTTTGGAGGAAGAAAAATGCCAACCCTAAGAACACCATCTTTACAGTCAAGCACGGAGGTGGTAACATTATGTTTTGGGGCTGTTTCTCTGCTACAGATACAGGCCGACTTTGCCCCATTGAAGGACCAATGGATGAGGCCATGTATTGTAAAGTCTTGGATGAGAACCTTCTTCCCTCAACCAGAACATTGAAGATGGGTCGTGGATGGGTCTTCCAGCATGACAATGACCCAAAACATACCGCCAAGGCAACAAAGGAGTGGCTCAAAAAGAAGCACATTAAGGTCATGGAGTGGCCTAACCTGTCTCCAGACCTTAATCCTACAGAAAATTTGTAGATCGAGCTTAACCACTTCCAGTCCGGACACTTTTACCCCCTTCCTGTCCAGGCCAATTTTCAGCTTTCAGTGCTATCACACTTTGAATGACAATTGCACAGTCATGCAATACTGTACCCATATGAATTTTTTTAGCATTTTTTTTTGAGACAAATAAAGCTTTATTTTGGTGGTGTTTATTCACCACTGGGATTTTTATTTTTTTTGCTATGTAAATTAAGAAGTCCAAAAATTTTGAAAAAAAGGGTTTTTCTTATAAAATTTTGCAAATAAATAGTATTTCATCATAAATCTTAGCCAAAATTTATTCCGTTATATTTTTAGTAAAAAAAAAATAACCAAAATTAGTTTATAACCAACAATTATAATTTTTAAACTTTTTTTTTAATTTTTTTGTATTTTTTTTTATATTTTTTATTTATAATTATTTTTTTTTAACATACTGTTACCCTAGCAGTACAGTGTCACCATGGTGACACTGTACTACTTGTGGGGGGTGATGAAGATTTTTTTTTTTTTTTTTTTTTTTACACTAATTGCTTTTATACCCATAAAGGATGTAAAAGCAATCATTTCTCCTTCTATCTAGCTGCATTCTTGCAGCCATTGAGAACTAGTGAGTGAGCTGTGATTGGTCACAGCTTGTCACATGGTACAAGGCTGTTGTGAATAGCCTTGTACCATGTGACCTCTGTGATCATTCACAGATTTCACACGTAGTAAGCAATGATGTCACAAGTGACATCTTGCTTACTACTCTGCATGTGATCACTGATTGGCCAATCAGTGATCACATGATCGGGACGTCGTACAGAGATCCCGTCCGACGATTGGTGTTCCACTGTGTCCGGATGACACAGCGGGCACCAGATCGCGGTGCTGCTCGCTCCTCCCAGGGAGCGCGCACAAGCAGGGTGCGGGGAGGCCATTTATAAATGGCCACCTGACCCTGCACTGCCACCATCCAGCTGTTTATATACAATGGCCGGACGGGAGGTGGTTAAACTTTGAGTTGCCAAGCAACAGCCAAGAAACCTTAGGGATTTAGAGAATATCTGTAAAGAGTTGACTAAAATCCCTCCCTGAGATGTGTGCAAACCTGGTAGCCAACTACAAGAAACGTCTTTCTTCTGTGCTTGCCAACAAGGGTTTCTCCACCAAGTATTAAGGCATGTTTTGCTTGGGGATCAAATACTTTTAATAACTCACTGAACTGCAACTCAATTCATAACATTTGTGTCATGTGTTTTTTTCTGGATTTTTGGTTGATATTCTGTCTCTATCATTTAAAATACACCTATGATAAAAATTATAGATACTTAATTTCTTTGTAAGTGGGCAAACTCACAAAATCTGCAGGGCATCAAATAATTATTTTCTCCATTGTATTAGATAACCAGCATCATAAAATAATCTAAGGTGGAAATCCTCATCCCATTTTCTGTTCATTACTGCTAATACAGCAGAAAGAAGAGTCAAAGTCAGCTTTGCAATTGTAGGCTATTTTCTGATATGCAATAAATAGTTCTTACAGTATATTTGACTGATGAACAGAATGTTATGCATAGATCATTTCAGAAAGATCAAATATCTCTGTGTATAGCCAGTTTCTATTCTTTATACGGATTAAAGGGGAGGCATGTAGGCCTATTTTTTAAATTAAAATGCAGTTGGGCATTCATACTGTACATAGTGTTGTGGGGAGACCATACAGCAACAATACAGTTCAATACAAAAGGGATTTGAGGACCCTGCTCCTTGGAGCTTACAATCTAGGAGGTCTATAGCTTTGGATAGGCTCCAGAAAAACTCTATTAGAAGGGACCATAGTTTCAAATACAAGGTTGGACTATGCTGTGCAACTTTTTTGTTTCCACCGCTTTATTTAAAAACTCGTTTAATATTGGTTTATTACATTGAAAAACTTTGTTGCTGTTCTAGTGTGCATTAGAGCTAGTGCTGACCTGATTTGCCCTTAGAGATCACTGCAGCTGAATGAGGAATACTCTGAACCAAGTTATTTGTCCTCATCTTTGGCTCAGTATAAATAACCAGGCCTGCAAGTCATAAATCAGTGCAAAGCGTCTGCCAACACCTATTACCATTTAAGTACACTGGAATGTATGCATTATTTCAGGGGCTTCAGTAGTATTTACATACAAAGATTTATGGATCTCTTGCCAGTGAAATTACATTACAAAGTGGAGCCACAAACAATCCCCTTGGTTACTATAACAAAGTGCAGACTCTTGTCTGGTTCTCAAGTTTGTAGCAGTGATATTATTGAGAGGATGAGGCTAATCTTAAAGGATAAGTTACCGTTTTGGGAAAAAAATTAATGCACATTTTTTTTTGCAGGTAAACAATTTGCATTTATATATTTTTTTTCTTATGAGCCTGCAGAGCATTGCACCCGTGATCAGCAGATCATGGGTGCAATATCGGGCTCCTGCAGATTCTCAATATAGCTGTCTGCCTGTACCTCCTGTGTGGACAGGCAGTCACTGAAGTCCAGAAGGATCAATGAACTTTGAGTGCACTCATTAGCACCCTAACAGTTCATTAGAAG